CGGGACAGGCATGCTGGGAAGTGTGCTATGGCTTTTCTCTCTCGGTGGGATTTGGGACTAGGTTGGCATTAATCGCATGAGGAAGGGATAGCATGCAAGGTGAGTGGTACCTGGGGCTTTGGGGCAGTCACAGCAGTGGATTCCACATGCACAACCTCAGCTGTGAGTCTTCAGAATAATACTGAGAAGACAATCAGAAAACGGTTTATAATAGTGGTCACGCTATGTTAAAGATATCATGTGTGTGAGATGGCATCTATGTATATAAAACCCTGCTCAAACCCCGTGACCAGACAGTATTCAAACAGCTAAGCCAACAGTAGAATCCAAAATGATTCAGTTGTAGCACAACTCATTCAGACAGGTCTGTGTTGCATTTAGCAAGGTGGATGAGCTTTCAGAGTCAGGGAGGTGGGGCAATGGGAAGACAGAAACAATGAAGGCAGGCACCAGGCTGGGCAAGTTACTTTACCAAGCCTGATGACCTGAATTTGATCCACATGGTGGAGGGAGAGATCTAACTTCCTCAGCTTGTTCTCTGACCTCTATACTCAGCAGTATGGTAAATCTGTGTGTGTGTGTGTGTGTGTGTGTGTACTCATAGTGTGTGCATACGTGTTAGTGTGCGTGTGCACTTAAGCCTGTGCACATACACATACACACATTTAATAAAGGTTAAAAAAACAGAACAAATAAAGATGGTGGATGCCATACACAGGTTGCAGGTACCAGGAAACTTGAGATGACTTGCTCAGATCTCTGGAACAGCTTGTTGAGCTTCCCAAACTTATTAGTGAAGATGGGGTCTGAAGACCTTGTTACCCAGAAAGGGATTGCCTGACTTCCTCTCCTTTTCCCTGTGATGGTAGATTCATGTTCTGGAAGGTGGAGAGGTGAAGATCTTCAGTAGGAACCAGGAAGACAACACAGGAAAGTACCCGGACATCATCAGCCGCATCCCCAAGGTGAGCATCTGCCTGCTGGGCTGTGGTACGGCCCCCTGTAGGGGTGGGGCTTATTAGGAGACTAGGCTATGTCTCACCCAGCCCATGGGGAAGTTAATGCTTTCTTGGACTCCTCTCCCCTTCCCCCGCTGGCTTCAACTTGTCTAAAACAGGTTCCCATAAACGTCCTTAGTAGAATCCTGGGTCAGGCTGAAGCCTGTCCGGTGATGAGGCCAAGAGGACCTGAAGGGCACTGGCCTATGAGTAGCTGGAGCTTTATGAGTAGCTCAGAGGCAGAGCAGGGCTGGGCCTCCTGTCAGGGGTTTCTCTACCTTTCTTGGATGTTGGGGATTGAACCCAGGTCCTCTGTAAGAGCATCAGTTGCTCTTAACCACTGAGCACATGTTGGTTTTCCTGTCTCCTGGAAGTGCCCTTGTGGGGCATGTTTTCTGTGCTCATCCCCTCAGCAAATGTCGATGAGTCATCTGCCATGTGCCGTAGCCTACAGTAGCACAGCCAGGGCTTGCTGCCTGCATTAGAAGAAAAGGTCTAGCGTCTGTGGCCGTGAATAAGAACCATAACTGACTGGAACATTGCTCAGTGTTACAACGGTGGTCTAGAGTCTACCAATGAGAAACTGGGGGTGTGGCTTAGCAGTAGAGCCTTTGCGTTGAGTCCACTAACAAAGGGCTGAAGGCATGACTCAGTGGTAGAGAACTTGCCTTGAATTCACCAGCGAGGGGCTGGCGGCATGACACAGTGGTAGAACACTTTCTTGATGTGTCATGCCCAAGGCCCTATGTTCAGTTCCCAGCACTGAGTGAGGGATCTGAATTGGACTTTCCTTGAATGGTCAAGAAAGCAGTGTCTGAGACCATACAGCCAGCTGCTGTGGGATGCAGGTTGAAAGGCAGCCCCTGGCATTGCACCAGTGTTCTAGTGAGGGAAAAGGCTTCCCAGGGAAGGCAAACCCCAGGGAATGGGCCAGGGAGGGAGGCAGACATTGCAGAGGGAACACCATGTACAGAGGCCCGGTGCTGTGAGACACCTGCCCCTTAGAGACACAGATCAGTGAAGAGAGGACCAGGGGCTGCTCAGGAGTTCTCCAGAGCCCAAGGAAATGGCACGCCCGTGCCGTCAGCAGACATAGCCGTAGACATCAGGGTTTGTGAAAGTCACTTTGGCTGCTGGCCAGAGATGCTATTGCAGGGGTCAGTGCAGACGGGAGGCCAGAGGTTGGGGTGACTGGGCAGGGTGTGTTGAGGGGAAGGCTCAGAGGCTTCACGGGGAAGGTCCTGGGTTCACGGGAAGTTGGATGTGTTTGAGAGGAAGTAGGGAGTTTCTCTGTGGGCACCGCTGCTGAGTCTGGTCCATGGTACCGATTGGCAAGTCACCAGGAAAGCTAGCGCCCCTTGGTGAGGGAGGAGTCAGGAGGATCTGTGTTCCTGTGTCTTGCTGAGGTCAGTTGTGGCTCATGAGAGCATGGTGGGAAAGGAATTCATTGGCCTGCTTCTGACTTTTGACCTCTGCCCTCACTTTGCAGATTAAACTCCCCTCGGTCACCTCCTTTATCCTGGACACTGAGGCTGTGGCCTGGGACCGGGAAAAGAAGCAGATCCAGCCATTCCAAGTGCTCACCACACGCAAGCGCAAGGTAGCATCAGCCCGTCAGCTTCCTGTCACAGTGCCACACTGTTGTTTCTTTCCTCCCAGTCCTGACTTTGGGCCCTGGCTGGCCCCCTAAGGGGCAGAGCGAATCTGGATGTGGGTCTCCTCGCTTTGGAAAAGTGGCTGCCATCATTCCAGCCATCACACTCTCACCCCAGGATCCCAGTTAGGAAAGACAGAAGGGTCCTTTTCCTGTATTTATCATTTCACTATGAAAGGCCTGTTGGGGAAGTCACATGTCCTGTACCCCAGCTGGCTTTCCTTTTATATCTAGTTGGCTAGAATTGTGGCTTTTTATCATCATTAGCTGCAAGGGAGGCTGGAAAGCAAATCTCAAAATGAAGGAGAATGAAGTCAGGGTGTCCCAAGAGCCATCGTCATTCAGGACTTAATGCCTGCAGCTTTGCTGCCTCCTCAGCAGTGTGACCTCAGCTGGGGGGAGGAGTGAGGGAAAGTGTAGGTGTTTGCCTGGGGCATGATGGGATAGGGCACAGAAGGTCACCTCCCCTTCCCTCACGCCTGGTCTTCATTCTTCTCCCCTAGGAGGTTGACGCCTCGGAGATACAGGTGCAGGTGTGTCTGTATGCCTTTGATCTCATCTGCCTCCAGGGAGAGGTGAGTTCTGCCCTGTGACAGACAGGTTGGAGTGTGCTTGGCGCTGTCTCTGGCTGCCGTTTCTGATTCTCTTCCATCACTGAGCTGGGATGTCTTCCTCAGGCAGTGGCTTTCTGAGCGTGGACTCCATAGGCCAGAGGCCCCCAGACCTCTTGCAGGGTGATTTTGAGGACTCCTCTTGTGGTTTTTCTTCTGTATGAAGTAGATTTTTCTCTCTGTGATTTCAGAAGCAATGTGAAAGCCAGCCTCTGTTCTGTTGGACAAAAGGTCTGCACGTGGTCAGTCAGTGTGTCTGTTCTCACTATTATTTTAGATAGATGTGTGTTTTAGAAAATACATAGTTGGAGGTGTGCAGGTGCAGGACAGTAGTAGACTACCTGCCTGATTCGCTGAAGGCCCCGAGCTCCATTTGCAGAGCACAAAAAAGGGGAAGAAATAAATGCTATTTGGGCATATTGGATACCCTATTTTTTTTTAAATGAATTAATATATTTTAAATTCTGAATTTCTGATATGGTGAATATCAGGAAGTATGACAACCTCTTCCCTCCCCCTAAACAGAAGCCCTTTGAAGAGAGTCCTCAAGTACTTTTTAACAAGCTTGGGGTGTGGCGCAGTGGTAGATCCCCTGTCTAGAATTTCCCAATGAGGGGCTGGGGCTCAGAAGTAAAGTGCCTGTCTAGTATTTAGGAGGCTCCATGTGTGTCTCCAGTATCTGCTAAAAACGTTATAAAAAAAAAAAAAAGAATGTAAAGGGTCTTTTGTTTTTGTTTTTTTGAGACAGGGTTTCTCTGTGGCTTTGGAGGCTGTCCTGGAACTAGCTCTTGTAGACCAGGCTGGTCTCAAACTCACAGAGATCCACCTGCCTCTGCCTCCTGAGTGCTGGGATTAAAGGTGTGCGCCACCACCGCCCGGCCGTTGTAAAGGGTCTTAAGGCTGAAGGTTTGAAATGGTCATTTAGGGCACCAGGTAAGAAGCTGATGACTAACACCACAGAAGTCGTTCTCAGGCCTGGAGAGAACTCATCCTGTGTGCTTAGGGGGTTGGGTTGGACTGAGTGACGAGGTTTCCCATTCTTTTCTTACCTCCTCTTTCTGCTTCTCTCTTGATGTCTTCTGTCTGGGCAGTGCCAGTCAAGTCTGTACTTGGTCCAGATCTGAGCCTGTCAGGCTATCAGAACTGATGATGGTCTATACATTTCTGACTAATTGAGCCACAGAGCTCGGATTGTTTCCACCAGACAGATGAGTTTGTCTTAGAGAAGTAAGGTGAGCAGAGGCTAGCTTTCCTGTGGATAGATGACATCTTATTAAGGTTATATTTACCCGTGTGTGTGAAGTTTGTGTGTGGGGGGTCCTGCCTTAGCCTTTTGAGTGAGGAAGCAGGTACTACCTGCTGCCTAGCTTACTTCCCCATTGTTTATAAAGAACCTTAGCATATGTGAACTTTGGCGTCTAGGATGGGAGGGATGCAGGGACTCCCAGACCCGTCCCCATAGACATTGAGGGACCGTTGCATTGATAATCCTTTTCTCACATAGAAGGGTATTCCCAGTCCTCAGTTAGTGGTGGGAAGATCCTCTTGGAAATGTGTATTAACTTCATGGTCGTTGGGTGAAATTAGAAATGACAATAAATGGGGCCTTCAAGACACCAGAGTGCTTGCCTAGCAAGCCTCATGACATGACTTCAGTCCCTGAAACTTATATGAAGATGAGAGAACTGACCTCACGGAATTATCCTCTCACCTCCCACATGTGTACCGAAGACACCCATATCTGCATGTTATGATAAATTCATAATAAATAGAAACTAAATTCTAACTCCACAAAATGTTCACTCTGGTGCCAGCTGGATGATGGCCCCCCATCAGGTAATCCTGAGTGCAGCACACTAGTAGGCTGCTTTTCTCTGATTCCTCCATCTAAAGTTCTGCCGGTCTGCTGGCCAGTGGTTCCTTCTTCCCCAAGGCTTTCTGTAACCACACTGTTAGGTGTGGACCCCTGTGTGTGCTGTCAAGGTCTGGACTTCTGCAGTTTTCATTTCCTCCGTGTTAATCTACTTTCTCTCGTCAGTCCCTGATTCGCCAGCCCCTGTCTCGACGTCGGCAGCTGCTCCGGGAGAACTTTGTGGAGACAGAGGGTGAGTTTGTCTTCGCCACCTCCCTGGACACCAAGGACATCGAGCAGATCGCTGAGTTCTTGGAGCAGTCCGTGAAGGGTGAGTGCAACCACTGTTCTCTCTCAGGGTCTGATACCTTGATGTAGCCCAACCCCTGAGATTTGCCTGGAATCCTGCCTGCTCATGCCACGTGAGCCACTGTTTCCCCAGTCAGGCTTCCATATTTCCTACAGACTCCTGTGAGGGACTGATGGTGAAGACCCTGGATGTTGATGCCACCTATGAGATTGCCAAGAGGTCTCACAACTGGCTCAAGGTGATTCTTGCCTCTGCCTGGCCTTCCCAGTGTGGATGTCTGTCCCCACTATGCACCGGAGTCTCTAGTCACTCCTATTTGAGCATGGGTCCCCTTATATGGTCCACCCCAGCCAGATGTCCTGTCTTAGCAAAGCGTGGCTAATAGCTCTTCCAGGGACTCACTGTGAACTGCTCAACCTACGCCTTAGTTGTATCATGGGAGGAAGCCAACGCCAGGGCTCTCTGCTCCCTGTGCTTGTCCTTGTTGTATGAGGCACACAGAGCAGAGTCCTCGGCACCGTGTCCAAGGTCCACTGCCTCTGACGAACTCATGAGGAAAGAGTCAGCTTGGTTAGGGAGGGCCCTGGGGAATTCAGAAAAGCCTTCCAGCTGGACATCTGGATCCAGCTCTGGACAACCGTGTGGAGATGAGGGTGGAGCAGCTGGGCTGGAGAGCCACAGGTACAATGGCCTGGAGTAGGGGTAGGTTCAGTATTACAGGACACAGGGTGGGCAGGGGAGGTCAGACCGTGTAGACTGTAGCACCTTGGGCCCTCTGAGATGAAGCTGGGTTCTTTTCCAAAGGTTTCAGGAAGCCAGCAGGGTCTCAGAGAAAGTCTGATCCTGTTGTCACTTTGCAGAGGTCCTCTGGCTGCTTTATAGAGAATAAGCTGGTGTGATGTATGATTGGGCAAGAATGAGAAGCGGGGAATGTGGGGAAGTGTTTCCTGGCACAAGATGACAAAATGAGGCACTTGGGAACTGGGCAAGCTCGGCCTGCTGTGCATTTCCCTTGGCTCTGGTCTGTTTCTCCTGACATTGTGCAAACCTTCCCTGCCTTAGCAATAATTCACTCCTATACCCGTAATCTCAAGCTGGTGCTTCATAAGTGTTTCTTGAATGGATGGGTACGTGTGAAGGAGTGGTTAAGTGGTTAAGTTAGCCTTGCCTACTTGGGGACTGAAGCAGAGAGGGAAACAAGGTGACCCCCGGAGCTGGGTGTGGTACGTACTGTAACCCCAGCACTCGGGAGGCTGAGGCAGGAGGCTCTAGATTGCAGCTCAGCCTGGAGAGATGAAAGATGATTCCCCTCACACATCCCCAACCCATTTGCTTTGCTTTAAGATGAAAAGCCCCTTTCCCTGCAGCTTCCACATGAGCCTTGCTCTCTTCCTCAAAGTTCTTGAGTACTTTGAGGAAGCCTCAAGTAATGAGTTCCCACCTGCCCTTCACCCTGTCATCCCTCACTTCCCTCCTCCAGCTAAAGAAGGACTTTCTTGTGGGTGTGGGCGACACTCTGGACCTTGTGGTGATTGGCGCCTACCTGGGCCGGGGGAAGCGTGCCGGCCGGTATGGGGGCTTCCTCTTGGCTGCCTATGATGAGGAGAGTGAAGAGCTGCAGGCCATATGCAAGGTCCTGGAGACTGGGCACTGGTCACAGAATCGGGAGGGATGTAGTTGCACTCTGGGATGTGCCTGTGTCTGTCATCATGCATGCGCGGGCTCCACCAGCTCTGAACAAATGACTGACATCTCACGTGATCACATTTACCCTTGTGATCAAGTGGCTTGTAATTTGTTATATTTTGGGGCACTAGTCTGTAGCCAGAAATATGTTTTTTTTGCAGTATTTTTACAATATTTATCTAGAGTGGGGTTTTAAAAGCACCATTGTTAGGACAGAAGTCAAACAATAATATGACTATCAATACAGGCAGAGCATTTCCTGAATGTTAGTTTTAAGGTTATGGTAGTGTTACTAGTAGGAGTGATAAGTGGTGGTGCAAGCCTATGATCCTAGCCCTTGGGAGTTAAGAGAGTCACAAGACAGTGTCATCATATTGCATATGAGGCTGGGAATGTAGCTCAGTAATACAGCTGTTGCCTAGAATCCCCCAGTGAGGGGCTGGGGGCGTGGCTCAGTGGTAGAGCCCCTGCCTAGAATCCCCCAGTGAGGGGCTGTGGGGCGTGGCTCAGTGGTAGAGCCCCTGCATAGAATCCCCCAGTAAGGGGCTGGGGCGTGGCTCAGTGGTGGAGATCTTGTCTAGACATTGGAGAGAGACAGCAGAGAACATGGGTTTTTCTAGAAAGCAAAGGGCTGTGCATGATAGGTTCAGCCTTTCAGGACAGGGGATTTTCCCCTTCTATGAGTTTTGAGAATTCTCAGTAAGCATCAGTCCACCTCATCTGAGGTGGCAAGACAGGGTTAGGTGCTGGACCATCTGACAAGATGAACTTCTAATTGGCCATATTCTCCTGCAGCTGGGAACTGGATTCAGTGATGAAGAGCTGGAGGAGCATCACCAGAGCCTAAAGGTGGGCCCCATGACCACCCAGTGCCTCTCGTCACACTCACTCTTGGCCAGCCAGGGCTGTGACCAAATGGACTCCCAGACCATCTAGATTCAAGTCCCGGGTCTGCCAGCTACTTACCTCCTGACAGTGCTGGCCAAGGGACTGCGTGTCCCGGCACAGCATACATCTGTCCTTTGGAAATGCTGTGAGCCTCTCGAGAGGGGCAGTCTTTCTCAGTGGTCTCAGGCATTTTGGGGTGTGAGGCTCTGTCCTGTGCGTTGGTATCTTTAGGTCTGACCCCCACCTCTGTCCCATTCTTGCTTATCTCTCTGCTCTTCCCTAGGTTGTGCCTCCTTAAATTCCCCTCCCTTCCAGTGTTGGGTGTGTGTCTACGTCTCTCTGGGCTTCTGCCTCTCTGTATCTTCAGTGTCCCTTTTCAGTCCTTTGTTCTCTGTTTCCCTAGGATCCTCCACGCCTAGCCTTTTGACTTAAGGACCGCACGGACAGGCATCTTCTCCCCTTCTCCCCTTCCCTCATCTCTGATTCCTCTCCCTCTAAGCCTTAGCCCTGGCTTTGAGGTTTAAGCTCATCTCCTTTCCCTCTGCTCACTGCAGGCCCTAGTGTTGCCGACCCCACGCCCCTATGTGAGGATCGATGGGGCAGTTGCCCCAGACCACTGGCTGGACCCAAAGGTCGTATGGGAGGTGAAGTGTGCGGATCTCTCCCTGTCCCCTATCTACCCTGCTGCGCGGGGCCTGGTGAGTGCTGGGCCTGGGAAAGACTCTAGCAGGGAAGGCAGAGCTGATGCGGGGAGACTTTGGGTCATGCTCTTCCTGTGTATTCATTAAAAAACCTTGAATACATTTGGGCATCACATACCATTCCCAGCAGTAGTAAGAAGACAGTGACATTGCTCCCATCTGACTTTCATCTCCAAAGTAACTCGAGAGCGCAGACTTACGTGAAAGTTCAGCATGCCTAATGTCCCTGTGTCAGAACAGATCAGCGATGTAGCCTTGGTGTCCACAGTCGTCAGAAGGCAGCACACAGGAGATAGTGCAGCTCAAATTCAGGGTTCTTCCAGAAGCGAGGCTGGCATGTACTTTCTGAGTAGAAGCAGACTTATATTTTGAAAAGTGTGTCTCTTGGGTTTTTGTTTTTTAGGGTTTCTTTGGTGCTTAAGCCAGAGCCTGGTACATGCTAGGCAAGCACTCTACTTCCTATGTTCTCACTGGGGACTTTTAGGGAGGTACTTTTCTACTGAGCCACATCCCTGGCCCCTCACGGGGGATAATACTGTACCATACCCCTCTTTTTTCTATTTTTACCCCTGTGGCTTTTTTTTTGTTTGTTTGTTTTGTTTTTTGTTTTTTTGTTTGTTTTTTGTTTTTTTCTTTCCAGACAGGGTTTCTCTGTGTAACAGCTCTGGCTATCCTGGAACTAGCTCTGTAGACCAGGCTGGCCTCAACTCACTGAGATCCTCCTGCCTCTGTCTCCCGAATGCTGGGATTAAAGGCATGTGCCACTACTACCCCACCGTTTGTGTTTTGGTTATTGTTGTTTATTTTGAGGCAAATTCTTATTAACCCACACAGGCCCTGAACTTGAAATTCTCCTGCCTCATCTTCCTGAGCAGTTGGGATTGCAAGCAAGTTCTTCCAGGCTTGGTTTATCTCATTCAAAAAATAAAAAAAAAAAAAAAATCACACTTACTTTACAGTAGAGAGCAAGGGCCCTTTACAGTACAGTACCAAGTGCAAGGAGCTGGCCTTTGTCCTAACTTAACTTTGATGCAGCTGTAGGTTAATAACTGGTATATTACCCATTTAAGCCTCACAGTAGTGCCAACCTGTGTACCTGTGTTCATAGGTGAGAATGAGAGTCACAGAGGGCTGAGGTAACTGGCTCATAGCTGCTTGGCTCCTGAGAGCTGCTAGCTGGTATCGAAAGCCAACTGCTTTTCAGTACTCATCCTCATCAGGATGCTAACAGTAGAAACAGCTATAGCAGCTGATACTTCCTGAGTGTTAGAGTACACCGGGGACTAAGATGTCAAACATGCTGACACCTTCTTTAACCTGCACAGCCCAGTGCTCAGCCCAGTTGAGCTAAGGCCCAGGTCAGGAAAGAGGAAGAGACTAGGGAACCATGTGTGGCTGACTGCAGTTGGAGCCCCACAGAGTCCTCCCATTGCTACTGTCCTCTCCCACAGGTGGACAAAGAGAAAGGGATCTCCCTTCGTTTCCCTCGGTTCATTCGTGTCCGTGAAGACAAGCAGCCAGAGCAGGCCACCACCAGTGACCAGGTGAGGCCTGGGGAAGGGGGTTGGTTCTGGACAGGAGGTAAGAGTATCTGGGGAGGAGCTGCTGATACTCGCCCCCCTCCTCAGGTGGCCTGTTTGTACCGGAAGCAGAGTCAGATACAGAACCAGCACAACTCAGACTTGGACTCCGACTTTGAGGACTGCTATTAACCCCCTGGCCTCTTGGACCTGGGGTGGAGGTTGAGGGAACCGGGTACTGTTTGCCTGGTGGTGTTGACTGGTGTGTGTGTGGGGACATAGGGGTTGGAGACTGGGGCTGGAGTGCTTCCTTTTCTTTAATAAATGACTATTAAGTGCCTACTCTGTGAGGAGGTCCACATTGAGCTCTGTGGCGTCACTCTGTGAGTTCACACCGGGTATAGTATATGACCATGCCAGGTGCTGGTCAGTTCCCTGTTCCCTGCAGTCTGTCAGCTTCCAGCCACATGTGCTGTGGAACACTCAGCACACGGCCATTGCCACCTAAGACTAGAACAGTTCCTTTTGTTTTAAATAGCCACCTTTGGTCAGTGCTGATCAATTAACAGCAGTAGTTGAGAGCCTTCATGTTTTAACTTCTTTGGACTCCTAGCACTCTGGCAGGTTGACACTCCAGTGCTGTCTTTTGCAGATATAGGTGAGGACACTGAAACTTCTAGGGGCCACCAAGTACCCTGGCCAGAAACACTAGTACTTATGGCTCCAACCCAGTGGCTTTCCTGGCAATCAGTCCCACATCTTTCTAACAAGGTCCCCCTTGGGAGACAGTGGTGCAGTACCAGGTGTGTGTGTGTGGTTCCTATTTGTATCACCCACCATCTTGTCACCAGACGTCACCTCTGAATCCTCCGTGTAGCATTTCAGTCATCACGCCATAAGATCAAGAAGTGACTGTGTCTTCTTTGCTCATGGTTGTGCCCTGAACGTAATGTCTTTGTGTATGGCGGGCGCTCAGAAGTACTAGCTGAGTACCAGCCTCCTCTGGCACACGACCAGAGACCAGGCATCACTTCTAGTCTTCCTCTAGAGTCCCGTTCCTTCTCTCCTGTGCTTCAGGAGGGACTGCAGTCCTCACAGAGGTGCAGATAGCCCTAGCCAGTCTGTGGTTCCTTGAGGGTCACTTGAGGCTGCAACAAACATTGTAGAGCTTAGGCAGATGTGATAGAAAGGCTCCTAAGATGAGAGAGAGAATCTTCTAGAAAGCCCTGCTTTTCTGACATGGTCCCAGGAAGAACTGGGCACTGGCAGCTTTCTGGGGACCTGCAGCGGCTAGCTCACCAGGAGGAGGGTAGACAACCAGGCAAAGTCCAGGTTTGCACAGCTAGAGCCGTTCTCGTGGGACACAGTAAAGCCTGTCTTAGTTGGGTTTTCTATGGCTGTGATAAGACACCATGACCCAAAGCAACTTGAGGCAAGGGTTAATTTCAGCTTTTACAAAGGTTCGCTTCATTATCACTGAGGGAAGTCACGGTTGGAACCTGGAGGCAGGAACTGATGTGGAGGCCACAGAGAAGTGCTGCTTACTGGCTTGCTTGGCCTGCATTGTAGCACCCAGAACCACCAGCCCAAGGGTGGCGCTGCTCACAGAGAGCACGGGCTTCTCACATCAATCTTCAGTCAAGAAGATGCCCAGAGATTAGCCTATAGGCAACCGAGTGGAAGCATTGTGTCAAGATTCCATCTTCCCAGGTAACTCTACCTTGTGTCAAATTGACACACAACCCAGCCGTCACAAAGCCCTCTTAAAAGCAGTCGTCTTGGGCGAAGGAGATGGCTTGGTCAGGAAAATGTTTGCTGTGCAAGCATGAAGACCTAAGTCCATTCTGCTCCAGGACTCAAATTTAGAGAAAAACAACAACAACAAAAAAAGTGGGCACAGTAGTGTGTGCCTATAATCCCAGCCTGGAGGCAATGGAGACAGCGGGCTTCCTGGGGCTCTCTGGGCCAGCCAGTCCAACTGAATTGCCAGGCTCCAGATTGAGTGAAAGACCAGACCCACCTCAAAAACTAATGTGGAGAGTGTTTGAGGAAGATACCTGACACTAACTTTGAGCATACATAAGCACATACATGTACCTGCACACCCATGTGAATACACCAATAGGAACACGTGCACACACAAAAGCAGATGTCTTTGGGGTTTTCCGTTGGCTGCAGTTGACATGCTGCTTGGGCTGTTATAAAAGTTAAATAAGGTAGCACAGTTCTCATGCGATCCAGTTGTGCAAACCTGAGCCTGAACCAAGTGACTATTTTGCCTTCCTGCCTTGCCAGTGATTTCCCTCTCATATTCTCACAGGTGAGCCCCACTAGTTTGTAAATGATGTACAATTAACAGGTGGAGATCGCTGTCTGGGTGCTGGGGAAGGGGTGAGACAGGATTTGGTTTGGGCCGTCTGCTTCAGGCCACATATTCACAGTAAGTGTGCCGTGAGGGCCTCATACACACCCATGAGAATTTGGAACCTGCTGCAGTCAAGTGTGCAAAGAAGAAATCATGCTGATACCTGGAGTATGTGGACACTGAAGAGACAAGCCAGGAGTTGGGTGAGCAGTGGGCACATGAATCTTCCCCAGAGAGTGAAATCCTTGTCAGCTTAAAGGTTGTCACAGGCCTGTCTAAATGGGAAGATAATAGGACATGGGTCTAGGTATATATCAGAGGGCATCATGGGAGGTTGAAGACCTGGAAGCAGAACTCCCAATTCAAGGCGAATCAGAATGACCAGGTCTCAGTCACATGACCATACCTGCTACAAAAGTTGCCAGGAAGTGTATTTATGCTGGGAAGGAGTTTTTAAATCACCCATCTGTGAATAGAACTCCCCGCGTTTTTCCATATAGATGAGAAATAAGACAGACTTAGTCTTAATCAATGGCTCATGCATGGCTTCATCCACGCCCTCCCATGAAGATATTCTATTGGTACAATTGTTTTCCATGTCTTTTAGTAAAAGAAAACCTTACCCTCACCAGAAAACCTCAGCTGGTAAGTAGTGGATTGAGATTTGGCCAGTACCCTCAAACACTGAGGACTTCTCATGTACTGTGATATAAATAGGCCTCTCTGCTTAGCTGAAGATACCATACTTTCTTCGTGGGCCTCCCAGACCACTAATAATAAAAATAAGCGAGCTTGCCAGCTGCCTGAGAGTCTAAGGGGTAGCAAAGATAGTCCTTGGGAGCAGTATCTGCTTTCAAGTGCCATCATCAATTTATCTGAGAGCTTGGCCTTCACTGCCCCATATCATGGCTTGTAACGAGAGATCATTATCCTGGGCACACTGCCCAACACCTTGCCTACAAGTTTCCTGCCATCTTGGCAACAAAACCTGAGCAACAGCTCAGGTTGCTGCCAGGAACACCCTCATTTTGACAAGTTTGGGGTGTGTGGCAAGGTAAGACCCTGGCTGAGGCTGGCAGACAGCAAAGGTTACGCCCTCCTTCCACTGACTTAGAAGCTCTCTGAAGACAGAAGGAGCTTTGCCTTATCATCCAGAAGCTAAAAGAAGACTAGAGCTATTACATGAAAACAGAAATGTGCTGTTTAGCAAGGCAACACACAGCTCCAGAGACAGAGCCATGAGCGCAACTCTATCCCATTTGGGTCCAGGGAAGCAAAGAGATTAGGAATCAATATTCAGGTGCAGGTGGGCTCAGGAATCAGCAGATTGCTGCGGAAATGGGTCCCCAGAGGGTGCCTGCTTAGTAGACTTTCAGGTGAGTGCGAGGCTGGTCCATTGTCTGGTTTTGTTTTGCTTAGTTGGGCTTGCTGTGTAGCCCAGGCTGACCCTTCTGCTTACTTAGTACGCACTATACTCATCCATTATCTGGCTTCTAGAAAGTCTTTGTTGCTGGGTCAACACTGGTTTAAGTTGGGGATGCTTTTAAAGCAGTTCTTTGAAAACAGTAATTCAATGTTCCGGCCAAAGTCTAGTCCTCCTCTTCCTGCCTGCCCTCCCTCACCCCCATTTAGCACAGAACTTTTTTTTTCTTTTTTTACTATATTCATGTATTTGTATATATTACATATAGCATACATGGGGAAGGCAGAGGACAACTTGGGGGTCGGGGGCGGGGGTGGTGGATTCTCTTTTTCTACCATTTGGGTCCCAGAGTATGAGCCTAGGTCGTTAGGCTTGGCAACAAGCACCTTTATCAGCAAAGCCGTCTTGTTGGCCCTTTGTTTTATTGGTATATATTCATTGAACACAGTACTGAAAACCCATAAAAACATTTTCATACCATTGTGGGGTATACTTTGACCTTGCTACTCTCCCCTCCTACTGTCCCCTTCTTTTCCTTCTCCCCTCCCTATATAAAATCCAGGAACCACGGATGTAATATTTGCCCTTATTTATTATGTATACAGTGTTCTGCCTGCATGTATTCTTGCGATCTCATTCAAGGTGGCCGTGAGCCACCATGTGGTTGCTGGGAATCGAACTCAGGACCTCCAGAAGAGCAGCCGGTGCTCTTAAAGTCTGAGCCATCTCTCCAGCCCCAATGTTTGCCTTTCTGAGCCTGAGATTTCATCTCATAATCTGGAATTTTAGCCATTTTCCTGCAATTGACATTCTTTATGACTGAATACAATTTCTTTTATTTCCCTTCAGCAAAGTTCCCAGGGGTAGTATAGCTGGGTCTTAGGGTAGATGTGTCCTTATTTTTTTCAAGGAGATTCCACCCTGATTTTTATAGTGCATATACTAATTTACATTCCTATCAACCTTGTATAATGTTCCCTTCGGTTTGACTCCTCATCATTAACCTGTTTCCTTAGTGACTGCCATTTTGAATGGAGTGAGATAGACTCAATGTTGTTTTAATTTGCATTTACTCAATGGTAATGATGCACTTTTTTTGGGGGGGGTGGTTTCGAGACAGGGTTTCTCTGTGTAGCTTTGGAGCCTATCCTGGTACTCGCTCTGGAGACCAGGCTGGCCTCGAACTCACAGAGATCCGCCTGCCATGTGCCACCAACGCCCGGCCATGATGCACTTTTCATTACTTGGTTTTTTACATTTCATCTTTTGATAACTGTTCATTTTATTTGCCCATTTTATTTATTGGGTTTGATTTCTTGGTATTTGTTTTTTGAGTTCTTAACACATTGCTGATGCTTTCTTCAATCTGAAGTGCAATTAGCAAAGACTTCCTCTGATTCTTTTTAGGCTGTCTTTTCACTCAACTCTTTTATTTTTTTTTAATTTTTAATTTTTTTTTGCTATGTTCAGCTTTTAAAGTTTGAAATCCCATTTTTTTTTAAATTCTTGGCATAATTTTTGAGTATCTGGAATCATTCTCAGAATGTCCTTGCCTATCCCTGTATCTTGAAATGACT